TTAAATTGCTTCCCACAAGGAGTACACAGGATGCATGTGGTTTAAACGCTGGAGCATATGGAGCTGCGGTTCACTAGGGTGACAGGAGGTCTTGTCACACTCTGTGCACTGGTAAATATTTTCTCAGTGGAAGCAGTGCGTCTGCTTTTTCACGTGGCTGRAATCTGAGAATTGTTTCTTATAAATTGGGCGGGTAAGGCAGCTATAATTGATATGAATGGTCACTTGATCTTTTAACAAATCAAAGGGGTCAAAGGATTCTGGGCAAAAAAAAAAAAAAAAAAAATCCAAGAGCAAGTTTTCTCATCTTAATGGAACCTCATGTGGCTTTCCAAGAAAGCACTGGTGCTGAAGACTGCTATAGAGATCACAGGTCAATGGGCAATTCTCCCATCTATGGAAATGTCATTGTTGGTGGTCCAGTTTCATGGACACTGGTTGAGGTTATCCTTTTCACTGATGACTTTCCCACACTGCAAAGATTCAATAGGCTGGAAGGATTCCAAATAGACAAATGCTGAGAGGTCTGTTTTGGATGCATTTGGCCTGTACATGTCACTAGATGTTGCAGTGCTCTGGATGAGCGCCATGCTATGCTCTCTTTGTATTGCGGCTACAGGTACAGGGTGTTTGTGACATGTGTTCTAAAGAAGACTGGTTTCATATAGAAGCTGAGGCCTTGGGATAGTGTTTTTTTTTTTTTTTTTTTTTTTCCCAGCTGAACCAGTTGCTGGTTCAGCTTCATCAAACGCCTTCTCTGTGGAAAAAAGTAGCAAGTTCTGTGTCCCTTCATCAATCTTTTCCCCATTTTTTTGTGGCTATTTCCAAGTGGATAAACTTTAGAGGACACCCTGGATGTTGACCTGGGCTTTCTTCAGTTTCTTGCTCTGCTAAATACATCTAGTTTCTTGTCATGAGATGCCATTGCAACTCATCTCAGTTTATAAATAAGCAGTTCCATTCACAGCAGGACTAATTCTTTTCTTGATTTCAAAGAATTTTTTTTCCCCCTCAAAAATGTCATGAAGTTTTCTGATTCACAAACTCAGCATAGGATACAGCACACCAAGCCTTCAGTTTCTCCTTGGGTTCGAGAATTTCTTTTCTTTCTTTCTTTCTTTTTTTTTTTTTTTTTTTTGGTGGGGCTGGAGATTGAACCCAAGACCTTGTGTATAATAAGCAACCTGTCTACACTGAGTTACACCTTCATCCCCAGGCTCCATGCTCTTTGTCACTGAATAATTACATTGTGGCCTTACCTGTTCAACTATCAGGCTTGGCTCCAGGTGATTCTAGGATGAACAAACATCATCCATTACAAAGGTCCTCATCAAACAACTTGAATCATAAGTCTTCAACCAAATCCCTACCTTTTCCAACCCCTTTAACAAGAGGAACTTTTAGCCAGGTATGATAATGCACACCCCATCCCAGTGGCTTTGGAGGCTGAGGCAGGATGATTTTGAGTTCAAAGCCAGTCTCAGCAATTTAGCAAGGCCCTAAGCAACTCAGCAAGACCCTGTCTCTAAATAAAAAATATTTTTTAAAGGGTGGGGATGTGGATTAGTGGTTAAGTGCCCCTGGGTTCAATCCTTAGTACCAAAAAAAGAAAAAAAGAAAAGGAAATTTTAGAGGATATTGCAATCTTTCTGCTTAGGCCCATTGACAAGGGGTTCTTCCACATGGTATGCTTAGGAATGTGCCTTTTGGCGAGTACTACCCCAAGGAACCTGTCTTTGTAGAGGACCATGGGAAGGAATCTGTCTTTGTAGAGGACTATGGGAAGATTTACTCTGGGTCAAGTGAACAAGAACTGGTTAGGGATTGGATACAAGGGAAAATGCACTGGGCTCACTGAAGAGTATGTGTCATTACATGTCTTCAATATCTTCTTCTCTATGCTTGTCTTTTTTTTTTTTTTTTTGCCTCCTATCTGTAATGTTCTGCAGGGTTGCCAGAAGACTGGCAGCACCTGGTTATGCACCAATAATAAGGCCTACTAGGATGTTAGATATAAGTTACCCAAGTCTTTAATCAGAGCCACATGGCTTTCACAAGGTGCATATATACCAACATGTGCTCCAGACCATCCATGAAGTATAGGAGGCGCCATATGCCATGTATACTAGTTGCTGGGGTGGGTGAACCTGGTTATCAGTGTAAACATCTGAGCCACAGTTCCATTGTCTGAAACAAATTACACCTGGGCAGCATTTTGTTTGTGCTCTACAGACCTTAATTACATGTATGAGATTTCAATTTTGAAGTCCATTTTTCCTGTACTCAACAGCTCCAAGTCTGGGGTACCAATGCAGCATGGGGAGGGAACAGTGACCTATCTACCACATGTTGTATTCATGACCGACAAAAAGTGTCTTTACAAAAAACATGACATTGGGAACAAGAAGATGGAATCAGTGGGTCCCAGATCTTTTCTAAGAGTGATGGAAATCAAACTTCCAACCTTGCTACCTCCCTGATTATGTTTTTTTTTTTTTCTTTTTTATGGTACTGGAGATTAAACCTAGGGGCACTCTACCACTGAGTTATATCCCTAACCCTTTCTGAGACAGGGTCATATTAAGTTGCTGAGGCTGACCTTGAACTTGTGGTCCTCCTGCCTCAGCCTCCCCAGTAGCTGAGATTACAAGCGTTTGCCAGCACACCTGTCCTCTGCTTAGGTTTTCAGTAAGGATCTGGGCTAATCTGTAAAGTACTCAGATGCCTCAAGCAAAATAACCAACCAAAAACCCAAAGCTAGTGATTCTAGGATTAAGTAATTAGCCTCTGAAAAATGGAGGGGGAAGACAGAGATAAGGAGGCAGCTTTGGTTTGAGACAGAAGAGCAGAATGGACGCAAGTTAAAATAAGCAGCTAAACACTGCAATGACTCAGTCCTGCTAATGAACAAAAAAAAAAAAAAAAGAAAAAGAAAGAAAGAAAGACGAGAGTTGGGAGGACTATTGAAGGAGTCAGGGTTGGAGTGAAGGAAGAAAGGTCTGCTGCAAGGGAATCTTGGGTCAGGCCAATTGGACATAATGTTATATGTATTAATTGCAGTCCAAAAAGAGGCCATCAAGAAGGGAGGCTCTGGGGCTGGGGATGTGGCTCAAGCGGTAGCGCGCTCTCCTGGCATGCATTCGGCCCGGGTTCGATCCTCAGTACCACATACAAAGATGTTGTGTCCGCCGGGAAAAAAAAAATTCTCTCTCTCAAAAAAAAAAAAAAAAAAAAAAAAAAAGGGGGGGAGGCTCTGAGCTTCTTGGTTCTTAAATTTAAAGAATCCTAAGCATATGGGAATGACCCTGCCTGTATGAGGGAACAGTAAATAAATATCAGATACCCCTTCCCTATCTTGAAGTAATTTATGCAGCAGGTACTGGATGAACAATCCCTGGCACCCAGATAAAGGACCTGGCCCATAGTTTTCTCCCCCTGCTTCCTGATCATTGCTTTGCATCTGTTTCATTCATGTCAGCAAGGCTCAGGAATGGCCTATATGTATGGCTGCCTTTGGTGTTTGGACGGTTGTTAAAGAAGCATGATCCCTCCCACCTTGTGCCCATATGTGATCTGGAACATCTATGGCACTGGGTTGTTCACCCTCCCTATGATTATGGGAAGAGAACAGATGCTTCTAAGCAGCAAGCTCTCTGAAGCCAAGCTGTTCCATATCTAGATACTGAGAAGGTCTCAAGTGTTGACTTGTACCTCCATGGCTTGCCAAAGTTTGCCAGGTCAACATGAGAACACTTTATCTTCTACCTCTTCMACTTAGATTTTTCCCTCCTAGCATTCACCTACCCTGAGGGAGCAATGAGGACCAACACCAATGGTCATGTAGGCTCTACTACTACTCTTCAATAAGGGAACACAGTAGGCACTCAACAATATTTCCTGACTCAATGAAGGAGACAATAATAACATTTCCTTAATACACACACACACACACACACACATTTATTATAGGCTGTGAGTAGTTACTATAATGGGAGGGACCCCCTAATTGTTTATGAATTCCCACTCTAGTGATATTGATTAAAATCTTTTTTTTTTTTTTTTTTTTTTTTGGTGGAGGGAGGGATGGTGGTACTGGAGACTGAACCCAGGAGCCCTTAACCACTGAGCAACATCACCAGCATTATTTGTATTTTGAGACAGGGTCTTGCTAAGTTGCTTAGGGCCTTGCTAAATTGCTGAAGCTGGCTTTTAACTTGTGATCCTCCCACCTCAGCTACCCAAGCAGCTGAGATTACAGGCTTGATTGAAACCTTGAGGTTAAGGAAGTAGAAAATATTCTCTGAGCCAGAACGGTCTCCTTAGCTACACTATCCCAAGGACATGTATGATAGGCCCCTGCTCCTAGGAAAGCAGTATGCTGAGGACACTCAAAATCCGGCAGCACAAGCTACTGAGACCTTCATATGTGGATGACACTTGAGGAGTTTTTTGTTTTTCGGTACTGAAGATTGACTGCAGGGCCTTGTACACAGTAGTCAATTTTTGAGATATAGCTCAAAACTTGCAAGAGAGTTTAAATCAGAGGTTATAAACTGGTGGTCCTTGGCTCAAATCTGGTTTGCCCACTGGGTTTTACTCACACAGGGTTTAAAATTTTTAAAATTTAGTCCCACATTTAAAACTCAGAGAAATCTGGGCAGGGGACATAGCTCAGTGATAGAACACTTGCCTAGTATGTACAAGGTCCTGGATTTGATCACCAGCACTAAAAAATAAAAAATTAAGAGAAATTCCTATAAAAATCTGGCTTTCCAGAGTTTTCTGAAAAACTGAATAGTCTAGAGCTGACTAGAAGAGGCATACACTTTTCAGCTGACCATATCCCTTTCTCACTCGCGCTCATTTAAATTTCCAGCCTGACTTCCACAGGCATCTAAGTTTGCAAATCTTACTTTAGAAAACATAAGGAGTAGAAGCACAGACCTGGCCCCAATGGTCAAGACCTGATCCAGCTCTGAATGGGAGCTGGGCCCTCTCACCTGATAAGTCAGTGACAGCAGGGTCCGCTAGCCGCCCATAGTGCGCCATGAGTTTGAGCTTGGTCTCCTGTTTCCTGTGTTTCTTGCCCACATAATGTTGTTGAGCCATGGCAGGGTCGTTGAAAGTCGCATGACAAAGGCTGCAGAACTTGTCTGGGTCTATCATCTCTCTATTCTGGTGCAAGGCTAAGGTGGAGGCCACAAGGAAAGGATTTGTAAGGCGTTTCGACAGAGCTGCGGTGAAAGAGTTCAAACAGAAACAATGAAAAAACCCAGAAGGTGCCAAGCTTTCGAATATGYTGAAGAGAAAGAAAGGCAGTGTCACTATTTAATCATACTGGCAGATGTGGCACTGCCTATGTGAATCAAACAATGAACACCTTCTCTAATTGGGAAAACTGGGAAGATCTGGGATAGCCCAGAAGCAGTTAATTTGTTCAGCAGTTTCAACTACTTTAGGCATTTAAGTCCTGATTTTCTCATACCATGAAGAGACTCTGAACTTCTGCCATCAATTTGCTTAACTATTACAAACTAGAGGTGAATACTGCAATCTTTTCGTCCCTCAGAATTTCCTGGACTTTCATAGCAAGTGGGTAAGAAGTTTGGGTATTTTATTTGCATCTTCACAATATCCCAGTTAGGGGCTGGGGTTGTGGCTCAGTAGTAGAGTGCTCACCTAGCATGTGTGAGGCATGGGTTCTATCCTCAGCACCACATAAAAAAGTAAATAAACAAAATAAAGGTATTGTGTCCATCTACAACTGAAAAAAAAAAAAAAGTATCCCAGTTACAGAGCTGGGACCACTGCACTGATGTAGACATTGAGGTTCTGAGCTCATATGAGGTCAGGAAACCACACCAGTGATGCCTTTTAGGCTACACTGCTTTCTAGGCTGAGTGAGAGAGAGAAGACAGTGAACATCAGGTTACACATTTTGTACATATTTTTTTCCCTTTGTTCTTCAGAACCACCCTAATGATGTTTGTATTATTTTGCCAAATTACAGAGAAAAACTGAGGCTCAGATAGGTAAAGTGGCTTGCCTAAGATCACTAAGCTAGTGAGTGAACCCAGGTCTGTGTGACCTTAGAGCCCAAGCTCTCTTTGCCACGCCCAGCTGCCAGAGTGTGGCAAGAAGGCTACAACTGATGCTTTCCCTGACTGTGCTGGGGTGTGATTCAGTGAAGCAGAGCCTGGTATGGGCATAGTATGAGCTTCCTGTGAGTCAGCATGGGTCCTGATGTTGACTGTAGGCTGTGCGGATGCCTTATAAAGTGGATACAATGACTCGCTAATAAGTACTGATGGGGAACAATGTTAACCTAGCAACCACTGCTATAAAAATGTGGATCCCAGAACCACCATCAGTGGTAGWGAAGGGATAGAGCACAGCAGCACTCACAGGTAGATGAGATGGCTCAGATGCTATTCTGTCCCTGAACCACTTCAACTGGGGCCATTTTGGAGATTTTTCTCAAGCCATAAGAAATATGCTCGCTATTCCCACAATAGTTTTCCAGTATAAGGAATCTCAATCTCTCTGGCCATTGATTTTTGTTTCAGCAAGCAATGGAAAAAGTAAACTACGTGTTGTAGAATATAAGAAAATATTGTTTGTGGTGATGAATGGGAGAAAAAGGCAGGTTATAAAGCAATTTGTTTCTTGTGTCCTCAATTTTCTAAAACAGCAAAAACCATAGGTAAGTGACTGTATGAAAACAAAGTCAAAAAGTATTTTTCCATATTTTCCAATTCTTCTACAATGAATGTAGATTTTTTTGACATCAGAAAAGAGATAATATTGATCACTAAGAGATAAAGGTCATTGAACTGGGGGCAGTGCTGGAAGCCTATAATTCCTGCTAATCAGGAGGCTGACAAAGGAGGATTGTAAGTTTGAGGCCAGCCTGGGCAACTCAGTGAGACTTTGTCTCAAAATAAAAAATAAAAAGTGCTGGGGATATAGCTTAGTAGTAGAATGCTTGGCTAGCATGTGCAAGGGACATATGGAAAGAATATTCTACAGGGATGTCCACTGTAGTGTTATTTATAATACCAGGAAACAGAAGAGGAAAACTCAAATGTTTAACATTAGGGGAATGGTTAAATGTGGTTATAATGTAGTCACTCTAAATGTTTACAAAAAAAGTTTTTAATTACACAGGGAAATATAAATGTTATGTTAAATTAAAAATATAAATGAGAAATATACATACAATATGGTCATGACACTATTAAAAATAACTGTGCCATCTATCTACATATACTGGCATTTTGAAATGTCATCCACATATTAAGAGTAGTTCTCTTGGTGGTAGGATTTTGGTGTTATTTTAATTTATTTTTTGTACTTTTACACTGTTTGAATTGGAATTATTCATAATGAGTGTGTGTCTTTTTTAAAAAACAAAGTTTTTAAGGTATTCTATGTTTATATGCTCCTATATATGCAATTAACCTAAATATACACATAGTAAATATACAAACAGATAAATACACATAAACACATACATAACAAAAAAAGTTTTTAGGAGGAAACAGTACTCCAAAATGTTAACAGTGGTTATTGCTCAAGGGTAAAATTATGATAATTTTTCTATTTACCTATATTTTCCATGTTTTTTACAACATGCACATATTACTTATACATTAGAAAAATGTTTAATTTCAAGAAGTTATAAACGTACATGATTACATGGAAAAGTGCTTAAATTACAAAAATCAAATGAAAAGTAAAAACAATACAAGTGATTCATGGACTATGATGACAACTATGTAAAAACATTATCTTCAAGTGACAAAGGCTAAAAGTAAATATGGAAAATAAACTCTTTAGTGTGGAAGTTTTGGGATAAAATTTGTTCCTGAGAATTTTCCCATTTGTGGAAAGATAAATATGGCTTGATAAAGTTCAGTTCTTAAGCTAGTATCCTTTGGCCTAATGCTTAAACATTGTGGCATCATGTTTTGTACCAATACTGGTTTTAAGCAAAAGCAATCAGTACAAGTCAAAGATTAATTAATCGTAAGCAAGGCCAATGGCATGTTCCCAGTGGTGGATACTGGATCAACTATTGCATTTTATGAGGGAATTCTACCCACTGGCTATTTTAATGGTAACAACAATGATCATTTACTGAGCATCTATTATGTCCTAGGTTTTTAACATACATTATTTTAACCTCACATCTATGAAGTAGACAGCAATAACATTTTACAGGTGAGGAAACTCAGACACAAAGAAGTTATACAAATGATAAACAGCAGCACCAGGTTTTAAACCTGGGTATCTATGACTTCAAAGGCCGTATTTCATTGTTTCATACATTGAGTAACTAGATTTAGGTGTGATAAGAAGGTATAATTATGAGTGCGTTTTCACYCTATCTTCAAAACTTCCAAATATTATTGTCTTGTTTTCATAACACAGTAAAACAAATAGTACAAATAGTGTAGTCTACTTTGTGGCACAAAATACAGAAGCAAAAATTCACAAGAAAAAAATGAAACAAAGATCAAAGAACTTTCCCTCTTAACTAACTGCAGTTAGCAGAGGTTAAAAACTCCAGCAAACCAGAAGTTAATGAGATGAAAGCAAGGGGTGAGCTCCAGTGGTGACAAGATAAAAGAGGCTATTTTAGAAGTCACTGCACTGGGAACAAATCCATGGCAGCTGCAAACAGCTTGCTGGGCAGTAGTGTTGGCACTGAAGTATTCTGCTTTGAAAGGCAAGTCCTTGTGTAGAGAACAGGCAGCTTTTGAGGATTAAAGTGAGTAGGGCAAAACCTGAGCATGAGAAAAGGACACGGACTTAGCTTTCAACTTGGAACAAGGTAATAAGAGCAAGTAGATAGTGGGAGGGAAAAAACTAAGTGGGAAAAGCAGGAGACAGAACACTCTCACAGTGTATGTGTGTATGTGTGTCTTGGAGAACTTTGGCATTTCTGAGTTGCAGTTTTTGGTCAGGACAAAAGTCCAGGCTAAGAATCTTCTACTGAGGAAACACTGGTGGAACCAAAGAAAGGGAGGTTAGGYGAGCATAACTCTGAGGCTGCATTTCAATGAAGTGGGAGTCTACTTTTTATATTTATAAGAGCTCTCAAAAGCTGTTCAACCTCTCTGTGGTCCCAGTGAACATTTCTGGGAGCACCTGGCAATAATGCCCTGAGGACAGGAAGGGTCCCAATATAGCACTACTCAGGAAAACCAGTACCTTCCACCTTAGTGGATTGCTGCTTCAGCTTTAAGTTCTTTGCGTGGGTCTTCCCCAGGTAGTGCGACTGGGCCACAACAGGGGAGGAAAAGGTCATGTTACAGATGGGGCAGCACTGGTTCTTGTCTTTGCTTCTGCTGCTCTTCTGGTTGAGAGAAAGAACACAGGTCTGATCATGCCACTGCCCGGCCAGAAAATCTTCAGTGGTTCCCCAATGCCCATAGTACACTGGGCATTTAAGACCCCCTTCACTTATTAACCCCCAAACTGCCTTTTTGGATTTTGTTCCAACTATTTTGTCCCAGTCTCTACTCATCATACCCCACTTTATTCTCTATTGCTTCTTTATTTTGCTTGAACTATTCCTGTTGTCTAGAATGTTCTTCCTTTCTTTCCTGCCTGATGTCTTGTCTGCTTAGCCTTTGAGGCCTACTTGAAATAGCTGCTCTTCATTTTAGAAGACTTTTACTCAAGAAAATAATTCAGCATATAATTATCAAGCCCCTTCATGTCTGCATTCCATGAAGAATCTTACTTCTCCTCTGTAATGCCAGAGAGCTAAGTAGACCTCTGTAATATGGCTTGCTAACACCCTAAACTCACAGTGTCACAGCTTAGAAGACTTCTGTGAACTCAAGTGCAAAATTCAGGTGTGGACTATTTGACTCACATTTTATTTCCTATTCCTTGAACCTTGCTAGAGTCTGGCACACAGTAGATGCTCAGAGTTCTCTGAATAAGCACATCATTGGATTTTACTTTTTGATCATGGTTAGGCCGGGAGACATATTTTAAACCTATATTAAGGTGTCCCAATCTAAGCAAGTCTGATCTCTGAACAAGGTATTCATTTAGCATTTCTGAACCTTGGCACTGTTGATATTTTGGGCTCAGTAACTTTTGTTGGGGGTAGGTACTGTAATCTCACTTGAACTACTCAGCCACCCCAAGAGTTGAAGAAACTGAAGTACAACAAGGTGAAGTGACTTGCCCAGTCACAGAGTTCATCCTATCTTCTTCAATTTTAAATCATAAGAAAGGCCACGAGGGGAGACATTCAGGGACTTTCCAAAAGGGACAAGCAAGGTCCTTCAAACCACTGGCCACTAAAATAGAAGGTAGCAGTTTGTAAAATAAACTTTTATTTATAGATCATCGACTAGGAACTGGAATTTCTCCTCACAATGCCTTAAGACATAGGAATCATCTCTATGAGTGAAGTTCAGAGAGAAGTGCTCGCCCAAAGTTGTCCACCCGGGAAACTGCAATGCCTGGTTCACTGAATTCTCATTCTATGTGTACAGCTTACCACAGAACAGAAATAAGGTATTCCTAAGGGAGAGGGGTTATTTCAACATAATTCTCACAGTAATTCTGACCCCCAAAATAAATGCAATTACCAATTAATGAGAGCAGGCATTTGTTTTACTTACTTACTCAAAACATTCTAAACTCAGTTCTTTTTTACAGCTCTCAAGAAAGTAAGCAGCTTTCTTCCCTCTACTTTCTCTGGGATAGTTTCTTGTCCTGCTCTAAGAAATTTTGGGGTAGTATGAATAATAATAGTTCTATTTACTGAGTCCTTACTACATGCCAGGTTCTGTGTTGGGTGCTTTTTATAAACCTTGTGTTGCTTTAGTTAAGGAAAATCCTGTAGATATTTAGGATGTTATCCATTTTCATAGAGAAAGAAATCGAGGCTCAGAGAAGTAATAAAACCTGTCTAAGTCACAAAATAGGAGCAGGATTTGTAGCCGAGTTAAACTGACTCAAAGGCCAGGCTCTTTCACCACACCAACCTGTGTGCTGGCTTCATCAGGAAGCGAGAGGTCTCAACATGGCAGCTGTATTACCTGATCTGAGTCTAGTCTCTTCATTTCCCCCTTTAATGTCTCCAGTCCATGGATTGCTAGGTATCTCTTCACTTTGTTAGCATGTTTTTTGCTCTGCAAGAACCCAGGAAAAAGATCAAAGATAGCCAACTGCCATTTCATATTGAAGGCATTAAAGACTAGATTTTCATCTGATTCATCTTCACAAAAACTTTTGAGGTGTAGAATGTGGGGGAAGAAACTTAAGTTTATCGAGACTCCACTCTGTGAGAGGCACTTTACATGCTATCAAATTTAATTTTCTGGGGCTGGGGCTGTGGTTCAGTGGTAGTGCACTTGCCTGGCATGTGTGAGGACTAGGTTCAGTTCTCAGTACTGCACATAAATAAATAAATTAAAGGCCCATTGGGGCTGGGGATATAGCTCAGTCGGTAGAGTGCTTGCCTTGCATGCACAAGGTTCTGGGTTTAATCCCCAGCAACACCCAAAAAATAAAATAAAATAAAGGTCTATCAACAACTAACTAAATAAATAAAAATTTAGTTTTCACAATAATCAATGAGAAAATCATCATCTCCTCATGCATGAAGAAACTGAGGCTAAAGATGGTGAAGTTTCTTGCCCAAGATGAGTAGCAGAGCTAAAATTTGAACTCATAGTTTCTGCTTTCTACTCTACCAAGTTGAAAGGGAAGACACACTATAATGATCCTGATTTGAATGGGAGAGATGAGACTCTGAGACATCACCTCAATCTACAGGTCACAAGCCAACATGCATGAACATAAAGCCTGAGTGCTAAGAATTACATTTCATGGTGAACGCCAGGGAGAAGTGAGGATTTGGCACTGGATCAAAGAAGTGAAGTAGTGCTAAAGGTTCAATGGAAAAGGTACCTGGTAATGTGCCAGCTTCTGGGATTCAGAAATCAGCAAGGCGCAGCAAACTTTACACTGGGTATTAGTGAAGAGGCATTGGTTCTTCTGGATCATGTGTTCCACTACAGAGGGGAAAAGAAAAAAAATCTGAGTTGACAAATATTACCGCAATAGCACTGTCAAAATATATATATATATATTAGTTGTAGATGGGTATAATACCATAATACCTTTTATTTATTTACTTTTATGTGGTGCTGAAGATTGAGCCCAGTGCCTCACACTTGCTAGGCACACACTCTACCACTGAGCTATAAGCCCAGCCCCAACAGCACTGTCTTTCAACCCTGTCTTAAACACATGCACTAAGTAATAGAATGTCATACTAATACATACAAAGTTGTTAGTTACTACCACCTACTATAGTTATGATGTAGTTAGTTATTATGCTATCATCTCACACCATCTGCATTATTACTTATTTTATAATTTTATAAATACAAACCTTTTTTACTAAGTAACTTTTTAAAAAAATATTTATTTATTTATTTATTTTTTAGGTGTAGATGGACACAACACAATGCCTTTATTTTTATGTGGTGCTGAGGATCGAACCCGGGTCCCACCCATGCTAGGTAAGCGCTCCACCGCTGAGCCACAATCCCAGCCCCTACTAAGTAACTTTTTTTTTTTAAAAATATTTTTTAGTTGTAGATGAACACAACACCTTYATTTATTTATTTATTTTTGTGGTGCTGAGGATCAAACCCAGTGGTTTGCACATGCTAGGCAAGCACTCTACCATTGAGCCACAACCCCAGCCCCCTTAGTAACTTCTCTTTAAAATGAATCTTTAGGGCTGGGGTTGTGGTTCAGTGGCAGAGCGCTTGCCTCACACATGTGAGGCACTGGGTTCAATCCTCAGCACTACATAAAAATAAATAAACAAAATAAGTGTATTGTGTCCATGTATAACTAAAAAAAAAAAAAGTTGTTTTTAAAAAAAGAATCTTTATAGCTAGGCATGGTGGTACTTGCCTGTAATCCTAGCAACTCAGGAGTCTGAGGCAAGAGGATTCAAAAGCTTGAGGATAGCTTTAGCAGTTGAGACCCTGTCTTTTTTTTTTTTTTTTAATATTTATTTGTTAGGTGTAGCTGGACACAATACCTTTATTTTTTTATTTTTGTGTGGTGCTTAGGATCGAACTCGGGGCCTTGCACGTGCTAGGAAAGCACTCTACCACTGAGCCACAACCCCAGCCCGAGACCCTGYCTTAAAATAAAAATAAAAATGGCTGGGGTTGTAGATCAGTGGTTGAGCACTTGCCTAGCATGCATGAAACCTTGGTTTCAATCCCTGGTACCAAAAAAAGAAAAAAAGGCATGGTAATACCTAACTGAGGCTTACTACCAGATAGAATCAGGAGAATTGAAAAGGGAAATATTATCTCACTGTTCTGGATCTAACTTTGAAACATTTAAAATCACCTAACATCACAGGTTTTAGCCTGTGCTTAATTGTTAGGCATGGACAACTTGCCTCTATGAGAAGGGAGCCATCACACTCAAGATGTGAATTCCACCATAGCATCAATAACAAGAAGTAGAGGCCAAGTCCAGAAAACTAGGAGGGAAGAACAAGCCCAAGCTTCTTTTCTCCCAGTTCCAAAAAGTGGTCAAGATGCCCAGGAGAAGAAGCCAGGCATGGTGGCATATGTCTGTAATCCCAGTAACTCAGGAGGCTGAGGCAGGAGAATGGCAAGTTCAAAGCCAGCCTCAGCAACTTAGTGAGACCCTAAGCAACTTATCAAGACCCTGTCTCAAAATAAAAAGAGATAGGAAAGTGGCTAAGTGGTTACAATCCCTGGTACAAAAAAAAAAAAAAAGATGCGATGCCCAACAGGAAGGTTCTTGGTGGAGAACATCTAATATGCCTCTCTCTCTATGCCATTAGATCAAAGGCTTAACTATGCTCATCTTTTAGGGCAGAAAGGTTTGTCTGGCTATATTTCTGTCCTGTAGGATCTCTTGTTTATTACCACATTTTTCTTTTTCTTTCTTTTTTTTTTTATCTTTTTAGAATACATGACAGCAGTGGAATGCATTACTATTCTTATTACACATATCATATCTCTGTATATAAAGTATGTTCACACCATACACATAATGTCTTTATACATGGGTTTTTGTTTTTTGTTTTTTTTTGCATTACAATTCTATTACCACATTTTTCTCCTAAAGTGTTTGGTAAATTTTTTTGAAAGACTTTGCCTGCCTTGCTGTGTTCAGAGAAACCAAGGTTGGCTGTATCTGTGAAGACTGCTGGGCCAGAGCATTTTATTTTTTTGATGCTGGGGATTTAACACAAGGGTACTTTACTGCTTTACTACTAAGCTACATCCCCAGCTCGCTCACTCGCTCTCTCTCTCTCTCTCTCTCTCTCTCTCTCTTTTGATACCAGGGATTGAACTCAGCCACATCCCCAGCCCTATTTTATATTTAATTTAGAGACAGGTTCTCATCAAGTTGCTTAGGGCCTCACTAAGTTGCTGACCTAAAACTTAGGATCCTCTTGTCTCACCTTCTGAATTGCTAAGATTACAAGCATGCACCATGGCACATAGCCTGAGCCACAGCTTTTTAAAAGAGGCAAGAAGCTCCACAGAATGAAAAGATGAGACAGGGGTCAGAGTCCAGCCACCACCTCCTCACCTGGAGATTCTGGATCCTGCTCCCTACCCACAGGGTGCTAGGGAATCCTACCAGGACCTTGGGCACACTAGGCAAGTGCCCTAACATTGCTCTACACCTCCAGCCCCAGACTTTGTTTTGTTAAAGGAGATAGGTCTCCTTTTGAGGACATTCAGAATCTGACTCCCATAGACTACACAAGGAAGGGGCACACCATTTATGACTCCGTATCCCCACTATTTAGTACAATACTGTACCCACAAGCAGGGACTTGGTTAATACCTACTAAATGAATACACTCTGTGCTGGAACCCACTCTTTGGCCTGAGAGTACACTTGTATGATGCACACATTATGTATTCAAAGTGCCATGCCCATGATAACACTGGACTTAGTGCTGGGGCCATGACAATAAATAAAGCACATAAGGTAAAGAGTAAATAAATAAGCAAGATAATGATAGAGAATGAGAAATGCTATGGAAACAAAGTAAATTGGTAGAAAATGATGGGGGCAGGATAGTTAGTGAAGACTCACAGGAAAGTGTCAGCCACAAGAAGGTGTAGGGGAAAAGAATGTTCCTGCCTGAGCCACTTTCTGAGGCCGGGGTGAGTGGCATGTTTAAGGAATGGAGAGAAGGCCAGTGTAGCTAGAGTGTGGTAAAAGAAGAGTGGTAGGAGACAAAGTTGGAGAGGCAACATGAAGCTTACTAGATGATGCTGAATGAATGTAAGACCTCATAAATTGCATTATGAACTTCAGATTTTATTCTTTGTGTAATGAAAGGCAACAAGCCCTGGTTTATGTTTTGAAAAGATTACTCTGCTGGGTGTGGTGGTGCATATCTGTAGTCCCAGCCATATGGGAGGCTGAGGCAGGAGTTCACAAGTTTGAGGTCAGCCTTGGCAACATTAGCAAGACTCTGTCCTCTGTCTCAAAATAAAAAATAAAAAGGGCTGGGGATGTAGCTCAGTGGTAGAGTGCCCCCAGGTTCCATCCCCCATACCAAACAACAACAAAAAACTGTTGAACTTTGAGTGGATTGTGGCTCAGTGGTAGAGCACTCACCTAGCAAGTGCGAGGCCCTGGGTTCAATCCTCATCACAACATAAAAAAATAAAATAAAGGGGCTGGGATGTGGCTCAAGCGGTAGCGCTCGCCTGGCATGCGTGTGGCCCAGGTTTGATCCTCAGCACCACATACAAAGATGTTGTGTCTGCTGGGGAAAAAAAAAAAATTCTCTCTCTCTCTCTCTAAAAAAAAGGGGAGGGAACAATTATTAAAAAAATAGATAAATAAAATAAAGGTATTGTGACTAACTACAACTAAAAAAAAAAAAAAAAAAAGCCAAAACTGTTGTACTTTGGGTAAGAACAGTGGGGATCCGTGGGTTTCTTTCCCTCAGGGCTGCTCTCATTTCCTCATGCACTCAATAGGGGCAGAGGTCCTGTCAGAGAGGAGCAGGAAGAGAACCAATAACTTCCCCAGGGAAGGGCAATATCACTTGTGTTCTAAATGGTGGGTGAGGCCTCTATGCTGCAATGCATGCAGTTGGTGGAAGTRGTGATCTCAGAGGCAGGAAGAGCCAAGGGCTCTACTGACCTGAAGCGGTAGTCATGGTTGGGATAAGCATGTCCCTGGCTGAGATTGTGAGAGGGCCCATGTTAGATACACTCCTGGCCCATTATAAGGCTATGAACACTTCAAAGAGATGCAAAATGGCCCAGGGGGAAATAAAAGACAGGACAAACTTCAAAGTGGCCTGAATTTTAAATATGCTTTCCTATCAACACACAGATTCAACAGAAGACCAAGTAAGGCCTTATTGACTTCCGGTATTTAGAAAAATCTATGGAATCAGTGACTAAGCACTAAGCAACATAAACACATGGAGTAAAAAATGATAAAAAAGAGCCAAATTGAGAATGTTTGCTTCTGAAATCTTCAGCCATCATGTGAACAATTTGAAGACTAAAGCCACCAAGCTGTGAAGAAGCCCAAATTATTCCATGCAGGAAGACTATACAGGGAGGCTCTGGTGATACAAAAAGAAAGAGCTATCTGGCCACTCCTAGAAGCTCCATTCTTGTGCAATTTCAACTTCAGCCACCATCTGAGTGCGCATATGTAACAGACCTTGAATGAGAACTATGCAACCAAGCCTTCTCCAAATTCCAGATCCATAAAAACTGAGAGAGGTTTGTGAAGTTGAAGGAAGCGAAGTCCTACAGAGGGAAAAGTACCTACACAAATATCAGAATTCTGAGACAGATGTCTGACTGCACATCCCTGTTGCCCTGATATGCGCATCTAATCCAACAGGCAGAAATGGTTTGACACAGGTAATTACATGCTTAGAAAATCACCAGGTAGGCTGACAATACTGGGTTGGACCTCCAGAATAACGAATAAATGTTCCAATAGGCTAATA